ATCTACCGCCTAAGAATTACTCGAGCCTACAACAAAAGAGTACACAAGCGCCCTTTAAAAGTTGGGGACTTTGTGTTACGGAAAATGGAGGTAGTCGGTAGGGCGAATGAGCAAGGGAAACTAACCGCAAATTGGGAAGGCCCCTACCGAATCTATGAAGAAGTAAGCGGCGGCACCTACTGCCTGGAAACACCAGACGGCAGGAAGCTACCTAGAACTTGGATTGTAGATAACTTAAAGAAGTACTACTTCTGAAATTTTGTAAAGTTTTTGACCTGTTAATGAAATTTTGCCTTCATTTCCATACTTGTATTATTTACTTTATTTTGAGTACGGACTACACAAAGTGCATAAGGATCATGCTCACAACATTGAAGGATGTCGCCTGCATAATGAGCCGACGTATCCTACTTACCTTTTATAGCTCCTATTGTACAATGTGTAGACGAACCAATTAATAACCGACGACGATGCTTGAACATCGCTTGCACAATGTGCAAACGGACAACGTCGAGATTTTATGAGCTACCGCTTGCACAATGTGCAGACGACCTTGTATGCTTTATAACTTGTTAAAATTATAAAGGGATCGTCTTCCCCAACTGAAGACACCCAAGATCTTTAATAGGGGACTCGACTGCACCAAAGCAGTCTCCCCAAAACTTATTCAATTTTTAAGCTAAGTTATTAACTTAGCGGCTATTTATTCTTCATTCAATTTTTAAGCTAAGTCAATAACTTAGTGGCTATTTACTCGAGGCTAATGGCCGGATGAATATTATTTAAACTACCGTCTGCTCCAACATGAGTACGACTGTCTGCTCCAGCATGAGTCAGACAATCAGTGACGTCCATTTGGGAAAATTCATCGGGAGAAGCATCTCCCATTTAGGTGGCACATTGCTCTATGAACACAAAAGGCTGCCCTACCAAATGCGCTAAGGCAGCGCTCGCGGTCGTTTGATTTAATCTAACTTTAAATCTAAAAAGCCTTGAGTTTTTCAATTGTTCTAGCACAAGCGGAAAACGGCTAGTATTTCATATTAAAGGCTACCTTACCGCCTGTTCTTACTCTGGGCAAGGCAGGCAGATAATTCTTTTATTTCTTTTCAACAAAAAATCTAAGTAAAAAAAACTTAGCGGCTTATCTATATTTCACAAGGTCTTTGGGCGGATGCATTCATGAAACCGCCTGCTTTACATGGCTGTCTGTCGCTTGGTTTGGGGCAATCACCATAGGATTGATTGACTTAGAAACCATGCATACTCTTTAAAGTATCAATAATTTTTAAGTCAATCAATCCACTCAACCGAAACTAACCGACATCCGACCAGGGGCAAGAACCTTCGCATATTATACAGATTAAAAATACTTGGCAAAAAATTCTATGCATAAAAAAAATGAAACCTTTAAAATTTTTTAAAGCACAAACATCAAAATGAATAAAACCGGTTAAACAACCAGATGCTTCATATAAAACAAACAACCGTTAAAATTGACGACTGCAAAGGTTAGTTAGAAAAGCCAGAGATTTTTCAATTACCCGACCCCTTAGTCAGTAAAGATACACATATACTCGGCATGCAGGCCGGAAAAGCAAATATTAGGCCATTCAGCCGCAGAAAAAGATGACTTAAAGCTTAAGATCAGGGGAGTTTCTCAACATTGGCATTCGCCTTGTCCTCCAGCGCTTGGTTCTTTGTCTCTTCATCCTCCCCCTGATCATCCCCCTCGTCCTCATAAGTGAAGAAGTTCTGTCTTCAATAAGTGCAATTACTAGATATATCAAGGATCACTAGTATGGAGATAATAAGTTAATTCTTTTGGGTCTTCATTATCTGTTTCTAGACTATGATCATTGACCTTTGGGCTAGTTAAATACTCCAAAGACCACTAGAATGGATCCTATGAGGTCACACAACAAAGGTATTGGGTTAAGCAAGTTAGAGGCCCATTTATGGGCCTCATTAACTAGTAACCAGTCATGAATTGGATTGGGCTAGTATAGTTAGATTAGAGTTAGGATTTGGGCTTTGTCATGGACTCTTATTTAGAGATGAGATCTATAAATAATGTCCATGCGTAGGGTTGTATGACACAACACAATTAACAGTTAATTGTGCACCAAGCAACCAGTAATCCAAAACCTCTCTCTCCCTCTGTACCACACGCCCATCCCCTCCCTTCGTGGTGGTTCGTGATTTGTTTGTTGCTCGTTCTACTCAACAAAAGGTCAATTGAAGTGTTTGATTGCAACTAACTAGCATTAGTGGAGGACGTAATCTGTGCCTGTGGACCAAGTAGAGGAATCACGCTTGAGGTTCTGTATCTCCCTTGTTCTTGTTCTTGTTCGATCGCATGTGGAATCACGCTTTAAAGGTATTAATTCTAATTCTTTATGTGTTATGCATGATCTTGGGATTAGGTGCTATATGAATATGATTCATGTTTTCCGCATTCGCACCTATAAACTCCTACAGTGGTACCAGTTAGCCTATGCATGTACATATATTGAATATTAATTCTTTGATAGTCCACCATTTTAATTCAATTAGGAGGGAGAATTATTTAATTATGGGTCAATTATAATTTTAAATGTGATTTAACAATATAGAATCATTAAAAGTTGTTTAATTTGCTCCAAATTAGCCTTCAATGATCCGAATTTTGGCCCTAAAGCACTCGGATTTTTCGCTCCCCCTCACCCTAATTTCGAAAAATTCGAAACTATAAACCCTAATTTGTGAAATTGTGTGTTTTAGTTTTGTTTAATTCGATAATAAAATGTTTAAAGAATTTAATCTATTTGATTTCATGTTAAATTATGAATTTTTCATGATCAAATTATTGAATTTAAAATTTATATGATTTAGTTTTAAAATTAGATGGAGCACATTATTTTAATTTTAATAAAATGTTTTGTTTAAATTAAAAAAGGGGGTTTTAGGTGCGGCAGCCGCAGCTGGGTGGCGCAGCCATGGCGACTGCCGCACCGGCGGTGGTCTAGGAGGAAGGGCGGGATGGGCAGGGGATGAACAGGAGCAGCGCAGTAGTGCACCACCTTGTTGCATGTGCTGCTTCTGCTGTTCTTGCGCCATTGTAGGCCAGCGTACACCGCAAGGTGTACGGCCACCGTAGCCGACTTCAGTTGGCCACACCACGGTGGTTGGCGCGGTTTTTTTTTTTTAAAAAAAATTTTGTTATTTTTTTGGATAAAAATCAAATTTCAAAATTAAAATTAAAAGGATAAGTTTTGATTTTGAAAAGATAATTAAAAAAATTAAAGTTGTTATTTTTGCTAAGATAATTATGGAGCAAAAGATTCTATTTGGATAATGATTGATTTAATAAGATTATCCATAATTATTTTGGATAATAATTGAATTAAAATTATATGATTGGCTAGCAATTAGGATAGAATCTCCTAAATTAGTTAGGATAACCATGGACGATAAATATGATTTATCTTCCATAACTAAAATATGATTTGATTCTATCTCTTACCTTAATTAAAATATATGATATTTTATGGTTGGTTAGAAATAATATATGATATTATCTAATTGCAGTAATTAATTAATTAAAAATATGAGATATTTTGTGCCATGTTTCCTTAATTATGATCATTCAATGTGATAGTTTAGGAAAGCATGATGAGTGATTTATTATGTGGCACTTTATAATATATGATATTATGTATTGCTATATATAAATACTAGTATGGCCCATAGAATCTGAATACGATCTATGCATCGTTTCGTAATTTTGTAATCTAAATACGGTTTGCGTACCGTTAGGTATTTTTGTAATTATTTTATTTTATTTAAGTTGTAGATAGAATAGAATAGTATTACAGGTTGCAGTTAGTCCAAGAAATCCATGGAGTGAAGGCCCAAAGGAGCAAGATGGATGAGATCCATGAAGGTTCAAGTGGGAGCTTTTTACTTTATTAGTTTTTCTTAGGATTAAGGGGCCATACTATGTCATGTTTTATTTGTGCATTAGTAGATTATGCATGTTATATTTTATTTATGTTGATTGATGATGTGTTAGAGTTCACTAAATAATGACAACATAATAAATCTAGGTCCCAATAATATTGAGGTAGCTTTTCCAATCAAAAAACCCGATGAAACCTTCGATATTTATGATGGGTCATGCTAAAGCTAGGTGTCATATTATATCTTAGGGGAGTGGGGGTAAAACAAACTTTACACTTTTGATTGGTTATGCTCAACGAGGTTACCTAAAGAGTTTAGAACCTTGCAGCTAAGGGTAATAATTAAACATGTGATGGGTAATTATTCAACCAAGAATTACAAATAGTTGTAATCAGTAAAGAGTTTACTCACCATGAAAATGTAATGGTTGATGGTAGGGCTAAAGTCCGGTCAATTATTGCACAATTAAAGAATCTTAGAATCATTTTATTCAATAGGGATCAATTAAAATTGAATAAATTTTTTAAAGTTACCAACTATTAACATCGCTTAATGTTACTTTAAATTTTTAAAACATAATTATTGAACTTTGCCTCGTTTTGTTTTTGTTTGTAGATGAATAACCATAACGACAACACTATTTTGCCAACGAAACTTAATTTAAGGCTGAATCTCAGAAACTTCAGGGAATGGGAAAGGGAGTTGAGAAGAGTTCTCACAAGCCATGGGCTTGAATCTCGTTTATATATACCTGCTGAGAGCGATTATACTAAGGGTTATAAAGCTGAAAGGCATGCTGAAATTGTTTCAGATGTAGAGAAAATCAGAAAACTCATTTTAGAATCTATTCCAAGTTGTTGGAGAAGAATATTCAGGCACTATGAGGTAACCAACTTGTATCAATGTCTTCGTGTTATCTGTCGAGGTGGCATTGGGGCATTTGAAAGTGGAGGCTTCAAAGATCATAATTAAGAGAGGTCGTTAATTCGATCCCTCAGATTTAGTATTCCTGGACTGACAGTATTAGGTATGAGGCTAACAATGTTCATTGTAAGATAATGGCTAAGAAACTCATGCCTGGTCAGTCAGTAAGGACCCATGTCATTGAAATGATTTATTTGTTCAATCAAATGGACGTCCTTGGGAAACCGTTCGATGATGACTCCGAGCATGATATAATCTTGTTGTCACTTCACGATGGTTTTGATATAGTTAGACTCACTCATACTGATGAGGGCTCGACTGTGACATTAGTCTACCTTTTACTCAACCATGCTGAGGAGTACCTAAAGAGGAGACAAAGCAAATGCTTCTATTGTGGTGATTGGCTTCGCCATACACTAGGGTGTCCCCATTATACACCAGTGAAAACAGAAGGTAAAGAGTTACTTGATGTTTTTGTTGTAGAAATTAATCTTACTTCATCTTCCACTTGGGTATTCGATACCGGTTGTGGTGCTCTCATCGTTAATAACGTGCAGGGCCTTAGAGGAAGTAAGAAGTTAGAAAAAGGGGAAGTAATGCTTCGAGTAGGAAATGGAGCAAAAGTTACTGCACTTGCTATTGGAAGTTATCACTTGAGACTTCCCACTGGACTCATTTTGGTGCTTAGTAACTGTTATTATGTACCAACAATTACTAAAAACATTATTTCAGTTCCTGTTTTAATTATGAAGTATTTTCATTTGAAATAAGAGACAAATGTTGTTTTATTTCTAAAGAAAATATGTTATATGCTAACGCAAAATTAATTAATGGTTTGTATGTCTTAGAATATACAACTCATATCTACATCATTGATCATAAAAAGCAAAGAACAAATGATTCAAACCCAACTTACCTATGGCATTGTAGGCTTGGTCACATCAACCAAAAGCGCATCCAGAAATTACATAAGGATGGACTCTTTTCTTCTTTTGATTATGAATCATTTGAAAATTGTGAGTCATGCTTGCTTGGTAAAATGACTAAGTCACCCTTTACGGGTGTAGGTGAAAGAGAAAGTGATCTTTTGGGACACATACATACGGATGTGTGTGGACCAATGAGTTTAAAAGCTAGGGGTGAATATAGATACTTCGTTACTTTTACTAATGATTTAAGCAGATTTAGATATGTTTACTTAATGAATCAGAAGTTGGAAGCCTTTGAAAAGTTCAAAGAATTCCAGAATCAAGTACAAAACCAACTTGGAAAACAATCAAGGCATTACGATCTGACCGTGGTGGTGAATATTTAACCCAAGAATTTGATGAACATCTAATTAATTGTGGAATACTTTTACAGTTAACTCCTCCAGGGACGCCACAGTTAAATTGGGTGTCAGAAAGGAGGAATAGGACCTTACTAGATATGGTTCGGTCCATGATGAGCTTTACTGATCTTCACATATCCTTCTGGGGATATGCATTAGGAGCAGCTGTAAACACACTGAACTGAAGCCCATCCAAAGCAGTTGAGAAGACACCATATGAGTTATGGACTGGAAAAGTTCCAAAGTTGTCTTATCTCAAGATTTAGGGATGTAAAGCCTATGTAAAGCGTTTACAAGGCGATAAACTACACCCTAAATAAGACAAATGTTTCTTTGTGGGTTATCCAAAAGAAACAATGGGGTATTACTTCTACAATCGCGAAGATAACAAAGTGTTTGTTGCTCGCGATGGTGTCTTTCTAGAAAAGGAATTCCTCTCTAGAAAGACAAGTGGGAGTAAAGTGGTTCTCGAACAAATTCGAGACGAGCAACAAATGGTTGTAAATAACACCACATAAGAGGCGAGGGCGCATGAGTCGATTAATCATGAGTCGGAGCAAGCTAATTCGACTAGCGAGACTCTTATCGTCCCACTTGAATCTAATTCATGCGAAAATCTTTAAGAAGTTGGAGAGAATATTTCTATTATTTCTCCTACCCCACGTAGGTCTGCCATAATCAGAAACAAACAGTTTGTTGAAGTTTTGTTAACTGAGGATTCTAAAATCTTCTTATTGGAGAATGAGGAACCTTCTACCTACAAGCAAGCTTTGGTGAGCCCCAACTCAAATGAATGGATTGAGGCCATGAAATCCGAAATGGAATCGATGTCTGAAAATGCTGTGTGGACCCTGGTGGACTTGCCTGATGGGGTAAAACCTATTGGTTGCAAGTGGGTTTACAAGATTAAGACAGACAAGGATGGAAATGCCTACATCTATAAATCAAGACTAGTTGCAAAAGGATACAAACAGATTCATGGTATTGACTATGATGAAACCTTTTCTCCAGTAGCAATGCTTAAGTCCATTCGAATTCTTCTAGCGATTGTTGCATTTTTCGATTATGAAATTTGGCAGATGGATGTCAAAACCGCCTTCTTTAATGGGTTCTTGATGGAGGAAGTGTATATGACACAACCTGAGGGTTTTGAAGATCAAGAAAATCCTATAAAGGTATGCAAACTTCAAAAATCCATTTATGGATTGTAGCAAGCATCAAGGAGTTGGAACCTTCGTTTTAAAGAAGCAATCAAACAGTTTGGTTTTCTCAAAAGTGAAGAGGCACCTTGTGTATACAAGAAGTTCAGTGGGAGCAGCATAGTTTTCTTAGTCTTGTATGTAGATGACATACTCCTCATGGGGAATGACATACCAATGCTTGAGTCAGTCAAGGACTGGTTGAAGAGTTTTTTCTCCATGAAAGACTTGGGTGACGCCGAGTACATTTTGGGAACCAAGATTCATCGAGACAGGTCTCGAAGGATGATTGGGCTGAGTCAAGAGACTTATATTGATAAGGTTCTTGATAAATTCGAGATGTCAAAATCCAAGAGAGGATTTCTCCCCATGTCTCATGGCATTACGCTAAGTAAATCTCAATGTCCGGTTACACTAGACGAGATGAGACATATAGCGATTATACCTTATGCTTCGGCAGTAGGGTCAATAATGTATGCCATGATTTGTACAAGGCCGGATGTTTCATATGCTCTAAGCATGTATAGCAGATTTCAGGCAAATCCAGGGAAGCACACTAGACAACTGCTAAGAACATCCTTAAGTACTTGAGAAGGACTAAAGGAATGTTTCTAGTATATGGTGGCGAAGATGAGTAGGTTGTCAAAGGTTATACAGATGCGAGTTTCCAAACAGATAGAGATGATTTTAAATCCCAGTCTGGATATATTTTTTGTTTTAATGGAGGAGCAGTGAGCTGGAAAAGTTCAAAGCAAAGCACTATTGAAGACTTTACAACAGAATCAGAGTATTTGGCTGCTGTTGAAGCAGCTAAAGAAGCAGTTTAGATAAAGAAGTTCCTAACTGAGCCGGATATCGTACCAAGTGCTCAAAATGGAATCGAATTGCATTGTGACAACAATGACGCCATTGCTCAATCAAAGGAGCGTATGTCACACTTTAAATCCAAACATGTTGAGAGGAAATATTACCTCATTTGACAGATCGTTGGCAGAGGAGATGTCAAGATGTGCAAAGTTCATACGGATGAGAATGTCTCTGATCCACTTACTAAACCCTTTCCATTGCCTAAGCATGAAAAGCACACTAATGCATTTGGATTGAGGCAAATGATGTAATTAGAAGTTGTGTTTGTTTTTGGAGAAAAATAAGTTACATATGTAATACATTCATTTGCAGAATTATGTTTAATCAGAAATTTATCATTTCTCTTATTTAATTGTGGTTTCAATATCAAATAAAATGTCCAAAATAATTATGGATTGATGGGCTTGTCAGGTTAATTTATTTAAATAACCTGGTGAATGAAACCCCACAGGTGAACCAAACCAATATATTATTCCAGTTCCTAGTCTAGAGTCATTAAAGTGGACATAAATGATCTCTTTAAATGGACTAGCATGTAAGATTGATTGGATATCGCTATTTCTTGGGCTATAGGAGCGTAGTGAAGCTCGGTCAATCACATGGGTATGCATGAATGATGCATGATCAAACTATAAACCTACTTTGAAGTTCAAGTATAGAGCTTCTGGATATCTTAGTGGATTCCTTTGACATGAGTGGAACATTAATTCCATTTAATGATTGATGTAACTGTGTACATTCAAACGTCTTCCCGTAACTGGAGATTATAAAGGGTGTTTCATGGTTACCTCATGATTTGAGTGGGAGCCTTGGTTGCCAGGCCACAAGATTGGATTGAGTCTACCTATTTAATTAGGAATGTGTCTTGGCCCCTTGAGGAGGGAGAATTCAGAAAATGTATGGCCGTACTCAAATGGATTACAATGTAATCATTTGTTTTGTAATTCTAACTCTGTTTCTCAAGAAAAGATTTGTAGATTGATATGATCACGACATGAGATGCAATCATATTATCAAATCGACACACATTGACTTAAGGAATTTGAATATTGTGCACTGGTCTCAGACAAGTGGGAAATTGAAGGAGTTCTGTCTTCGATAAGTGCAATTACTAGATATATCAAGGAACACTATTATGGAGATAAGAAGTTTGTTCTTTTGGGTCGTCATTATCTGTTGCTAGACTATGATCATTAACCTTTGGGCTAGTTAAATAGTCCAAAGCCCACTAGAATGGATCCTATGAGGTCACATAACAAAGGTATTGGGTTAAGCAAGTTAGAGGCCCATTTATGGGCCTCATGAACAAGTAACCAATCATGAATTGGATTGGGCTAGTATAGTTAGATTAGAGTTAGGATTTGGGCTTTGTCATGGACTCTTATTTAGAGATGAGATCTATAAGTAAAGTCCATGCCTAGGGTTGAATGATACAACACAATTAACAGTTAATTGTGCACCAAGCAACCAGTAATCCAAAACCTCTCTCTCTCTCTGTACCACACGCCAATCCCCTCCCTTCGTGGTGGTTCGTGATTTGTTTGTTGCTTGTCTACTCCATATAAGGTCAATTGAAGTGTTCGATTGCAACTAAATAGCATTAGTGGAGGACTTAATTTGTGCCTGTGGACTAAGTAGAGGAATCACGCTTGAGGTTCTTTATCTCCCTTGTTCTAGTTCGATCGCACGTGGAATCACGCTTTAAAGGTATTAATTCTAATTATTTATGTGTTATGCATGATCTTGGGATTAGGTGCTATATGAATATGATTCATGTTTTCCGCATTCGCACCTATAAACTCCTACAAGAAGATGAGTCATTTGACGAGTTGGAACCCTCCTTGGCTTCTTTGGTTGCCGCCTCCTTGGTAGCCGCCTCCTTAGATTCCTTAAAGAGTCGAGCTTTGAACTCGTCATTTGCCTTATCAACGAGAACCTTCCAAGTTTGATAGTCGGCTGAAAGCTGCATAGCTGCCCAAGCCGCACTCATGATGGCTTCGTTATCATCCATCATTTGTTTGACCAAGGCCTGTTTTTCCTCCTCCATCAGAGACCTGTACTTGGTCCTACGTTTGGTTTCCTAGTTCTGCACCCGCCCTTTGAGTCACTTGACCATCTCTCCAAGATTATCAGCCTTCGTTTGCGCATCTTAAAGGGGCTCCATCTTCTCCTTAAGGTCCTTGACCTCATCTTGGAGCTCCTTGACCCGTCGCTGATGAGTGTCATTTATGACACTCATTTAATTCCTTTTAGGTTGAATTTTGTGCTATTTATGACACTCATTTAATTCCTTGATTTTACTCTTTATTTCTTTTAGTTTTCATTTTCTTAGTTGGATTTCTGTCTTTATGCATTTCTTTGTTTATTTTGTTTTTTTCTCTTTTATTTGCTTGTTTTCCTTTCTTTTTCAAGTTAAGGTCGCTATCCAAGTTTCCCATGGCCTCTTCCCAAGTTCAACATTGATTAGGATGTCTAGTGTTTTCCATTTGAAGCTTAAGCATGGATAAGAGCAAGGTCCTAAAGTCCTTGAGCTTTGCATTCAAGCCGTGAGGGCATGATTTCTAGTCTTTAACCCGCAAACATGGAGTTTAGAAACTGCAAGATCTCGTGTTTATCAAGAGCAATAATTGAAACGCACGAGGAGCATCGAAATGATAGGGAAGAAGGCTGCCTTGCTCCCAGGCGTGGGCGCACGCGACTATGGCGCGGCCGCGCCTGCCTTGGTCCCTGTTCCGTACCCAGATTTTCGCGACCGCGCTCTCTCTTATGGTTGGTCGCATCTGCATGAGTTTATTTGGGGACAATCTAACTAACTTCTCTTAGTTAGTTTTACTATATATAGATTTTCTTTCTATTTTTAGAGAGAGAAGGATTAGAGAAGATTTTAGAGAATTAATTTAGAAATTATAATTAGAATTTTAGAGAGAGAAACTCTAGATTGTAGAGAGAGAGAAGTTCTTGATTGATGATTGATGATTGAAGATTGTTAATTTTAGCATTTCCTCCATTTAATTGAAGCAAGTTTGTAAGGATTTCTTTTACTTTAATGCAATTTTTAGCTTATCATTTCAATTGCTTTGTTGATTGTTCAAGTTTGAATTTGTGATTGAATTAGTTCT